GTTCTTTACAGTGAAAAAATTCCATTGTATTTATATGTCACATCTTTATCAAGTCTTCTGTTATTGGGCACTTTGGTACTTAACTGTTCTGAATAGTGCTGCAATAAGCATTGACATGCAAGTGTCTTGTGTGACAATGATTTGAAGTCCTTTGGGTGAATACCTAGGAGTGCTATCACAATTGTATATTGCATAGTTGGAGGCACTCCTTGAATGTGAAAGTCTTCACACACTATATACTGAAGTTTGCTTTAAAACTACTTATACTGCAACAGTTTAGGAAATATTTCAACAAACTTTTTGTGAGAAAACTGATGAAAATAACTGGAAATAAAGAACCAATTGTCTGAATAAGTGATTTTAAAAAAACAATTCTGTTGTAATAGGAAAGAAATAAAATTGGTTATTACTTTTTTATCCCAGTGATGCCTAGTTTCTTTATAGCATACTGGGATATTACTATAGTTTGTTCTGTCTTGAATGTAATTGCAGCTACATAAAACTGCATCACTCATTGCCCTAATGTCTTCCCAGTAACTATGACACAGCACGGTCATTGATACTGTAGTTGCAAACTTTAGAGGACATAATATCTAGAGGAACTTCTGTAAAATGGCCTACCTCCATGACATTATGTAGGTCATTTATATACTGTCTCTTAGGGGGCTGGAGAGATGGCTCAGTTTCTTAGAACACTTGCTGCTCTTCCAGAAAACTGAGTTTAGTTCCCAACTCACAACTCTTTGTAACTCCAGCTCCAGAGAGTTTGACTTCTTGCCTTGGCCTCCAAGGCACACATACACATGATCCACTCATGCAGACATAGGTACACATGTAAATGAAAATAAAACAAATCTTCAAACAAACCCTTTGATAATCAGGGTAGGAGGTTCAGCCTCAGTCCAGGACTCTCTATTCTGAAAGGTCAGTTTCACTGTAATCTTAACAAACACTGGTTGCCTTGACAATGTCATCATCAACTTTCTTTGGAGACAGACCCACTAGACTGAACTTGGGCAACACAGGTGTGGGTCTGAATTTACCCATGCACCTCAGGTACAGGACTTTGATCTCATTAAAGTCGAACTGGAGACTGGTGTCAGATAAACTGTTGCACCTTAGCCTCTTATGAGCCAAAACCTGAAAGCTTTCTCAGATTTTAATGGTTTTAAATATAGAATACATAATTTTGTTAAAAACATTTTTAGTTAAAGGGACCAAAACAAACAAACAAACCCTCTATAGTGAGTAAGGTACCCTGACTATGTATCATGAAATTTTTCTCATAACTTCATAAACCTGTGACTTGTGTAAGTTGTGATTCCTCCTAGATCTTCAATTTCCTTAGATATAATAATCTCTACTTATTATTTAGAATACCTTTCCAGTGGTCTTTTGTAGATGGAAGTGCTTGTCCAGCCTGCTCCTGTCACCCTTCAGTTCCAAATAAACACACAGAGGCTTATATTAATGATAAACTGTTTAATTGATGGCCCAGGCTTCTTAATGGCTACCTCTCTTTTAATTAACCCATTTCTATTAATCTGTGTATCTCCATGTGATCTTGGCTTACTGGTGATGCCCAGGCCTTTTTCTTCTTGGCAGTTTCATGGCGTCTTACTAGACTCACCCTCTGTGTTCCTCTTCCTAGCACTCTCCTAGTCTGGTAGCCCTGCCTATACTTCCTGCCCGGCTATACCCTGCCTGTCCTTTGTCAGAAACAGCTTTATTCATCAGCCAATAAGAGAAACATATATTCACAGCATACAGAAGGACATCCCCATCAGTCTTTCCCTTCTTCATACAGTCACTCTGTCCTCTGAATAAAAACTTCTGTCCCTTTCTCCCTTTCACTGTCATGTTAGGAATGAAGTTGCCTTCAAGGGAGTTGTGAGTGGGGGGAATGGCATACAAGCTTGGCTTCCCAGGGCCTGTAAGACAAGATCCTGTCGTAGTCCTCTTGTAAGTTTTTCTCTGCCCTCTTGTGTTTGAGTCAGCCCTAAGACATTCTCATTTATTTATCCTTCCTCTTTCCCTCCCCTTGCTCACTCTCACTTCACTTCTATATAGTTTACCCTACCTAGAATATACTTAACCAGGTTCCTAAGCCCTGTAAAACCTACCCTTCTGAATAATTGCAATGTCATCCTCCCTCAAAGAAGAAATTGAGTAAGAAATTAGACTCTCCTAAAAAGAAGGTTAATAGGAGAAATGGGCGTGAATAATTAGTTTTATAGAAAACTTAGGAATAATATTGCTTCCTACTAAAGTATACATAATGGATAGTTACATTGGGTGCAGTTGAGTTTACTATATATACTATAATCTTTGACCTTTAATAATTGAGCACAATTATTTAGTGCCTCGAATATAACAGTGGTATATTACTAGTCTTCTTTGTTTATTTTTTTTAAGCCTTGATGTAACTAGCAAGATGATTCAGCAGATAAGGGTGCTGCCACTAAGCTGGACAACCTGAGTTTGATCTCTGGTACCCATGTGTTGGGAAGAGAGAAACAGTTTTCACAAGTTGTCCTCTGACTTTACATTCCTCATGCCAGTAGAATAAGGGATCCAGTAGAAAATGGATTTTAGGTGACCTTGTGTCACTGTTCTTAGTATGGTGCCTAGCATATGAGAGCTATCCAATAAATGTTATTAAAAATTAATAAAAATGTATATTTAAAATTTTTTACCCTTCTCAAACCTAACTATACACATGGTAGCCAGTAAAAGCAACTCTACAATAGTCAGTTCAAAAACCACTAATATAGTAAATAAGTCATACAAAATTTTATGCTGTTATTTACCATTATTAAACTTGGGAAAAGTTACTTAATTTTTTTAGCCCAATTTTCTTCATTTACAATTGTATATGGTCTTAAATAATTAGTATAATGTTAGCTGGGAATGTAGTTCATTTGGTATAGTGCTTGCCTAGCATGCATGAAGTCCTTGGTCTCATTCCCAGCACCCTATAAATTCCAGTGTACATACCTGTAAACCCCAAAACTCAGGAAGTAAAGGCAAGAGCATCAGAAGTTAACAATTCATTTATGTGTATGCACCTGTGGACTGTGTATATGCAGTGCATGTGAAAACCAGAAGAGGGCATCAGATTCCTTGGAACTTGGAACTGGACTTCTAAACAGCTGTGAGCAGCTGGATATGGAATCTGGGTCTCAACTCCTGAGCCATCTATCCAGCCTTAAATAAGGAGTTCTTTATGAACCACCTACCTGGTTCTGAAGGACTAGTACTAGTGTTTATTTTGGTCCTTTATTATTTGTGTAACAATATTTATTTTATGGGCTTTGGTCTTAAGTTCTTAGGGACCTTTTAAAAAGAAGTTCTTAGGGACCTTTTAAAAAGTGTGTGTGTGTGTGTGTTTAAATACTCATTTAGTAAACATATACTTAATGACACAACTGTGACCCAAGTACCAGCCTCTCAAAGTATGTAAATACAGAAGGAAATTGTGTCTTAGGAATCTTTCCTTCCCTAAGAAGAAAGAGGACAAATATGACTGTGGTTAAAAGTACTATGACGACACCACAAGAAAACCCACAGACCTGAGATTATAAGGGCTCGCAGAGACTGAACTAACAGCCAGAGAACCTGGATGGGACTGACCTAGGCCTTCTGCATGTGTGTGACAGTTGTGTAGCTTAGTCTTCTTGTGGGACTCCTAACAGTGGGAACTGGAGCTGTCTCTGATTCTTGTGCCAGCTTTTGGGACCATTATCCTCATAATAGATTGCCTTGTCCAGCCTTCAACTTGATATGCCATGTTTGGTTGATATTCATGGGAGGTCTGACTTTCTCTGAATAAAAACGGAGGAGGAGTAAAAGGAGAGGGGGAAAGAGGAAGGTGACGGGAGAGGTCCTGGGAGGAGAGGAAAGAAGGGAAATAGTGGTCGGATTGTATTAAAAAAGGAAGGAAGGAAGGAAGGAAGGAAGGAAGGAAGGAAGGAAGGAAGGAAGGAAGGAAGGAAGGAAAGAGGATGAAGAAGCCAAGTGTGATGCTCACCTTTGATCCTAGTGCTTAGAAAGCAGAGACAGGCAGATCTCTGTGAGTTCAAGGCCAACCTGGTTTACATAGAATTCTAGGACAGCTAGCACTACATACATAGAGAAACTCTGCTCTATCCCTCAAAACACTACCTCTGTGAAGAAAACTAAAACCATACCAGGGACAGAATCAAGGGTGGAATGTTATTTTGATGGGCTTAGGCGAGACCTGAATGAAGGAAGGCCACAAACCTGCACATTACTGGAGGAAAGAGTTCCAGGTAGGAGAGCTGACATTGAAGATACTGGAGGTTGGAGCAAGTCTGTATGTTCCAGCAAGCAAGATAGTTGAGTCTAGGAAACTGGAGGAGTGAGGAAGCAGGAAATGGTGACAGGAAGTCCCCAAAGGCTAGAATTTTGCAGAGCTTTGTTTACCTGCCAGTGACTTTGAACTTTATTATATATCTTCAGTAACTCTGCATGTTGGTACATGATTTGAGGTACAATCTGTTCAGTGTTTCAGAACATAGATGTCTTTCATGTGACAGATCAGGAAAGTTAAGTGAAATTTTAATATAGTCTACAAAATACATAGTCTAGTATTTATGGAATTCAGTTGAATTCTTTGAAACTATATTTAGAGTATTACAGAGCCAGTCAGCAGAGAGACTGACAGTACAGTTACACTCTCTGCTGGCTGAAAGGAGTACTCTATTTTCGAAATTGTTGTTTGTGAAGCCAATCATATTTGGTAGTTCCCTTTCTGTAGGGAACTGACTTCCCAGGCTTATCTGTTCCTTAAAGGACTGAGGCTCCCTCCCTCATTCTGCTTGTCAACATTGTCTTTATTACTCATTTCTATTTTCTTATGTTATAATCTAATTTAGAAGATTTGATTTCAGAGAGTCACATCATATATCAGACTTGTACTGAATAATTTTTAAGTTAAATTTGTAACTGCTCATTCAACACAAATGCCTGTATTGCAGATGGAGCAATTATCAGATGAAGAAATTGACCATGGTGCAGAAGAAGACAGTGACAAGGAAGATCAGGACCTGGATAAAATGTTTGGAGCCTGGCTTGGGGAACTGGACAAACTTACTCAGGTTAGAAGTATCACTTGAAAAGCTGGCTGAAGATTTGAAGCTGTCTCTACATGTTTAAAGTTTAGTGTACAGATAAAAGATATGGGTGCAGCCTAAATTTTAAAATATTGCTAAAAGAAAAATATTAACAGATAGATGAATAGAAACTTTAAAATGCAAGATAGTATCTTCTGTGGTTATTATTTGTATATGCTTATGGAGACATGAGTTGGTGTGTGTGCCTGCATGCATGCATGAGTGTTATGTATGTTTGTCTGTGTGAACATGTATGGGCAGGCTGAGACCAGGGGATATCCTCAAGGTTTCTTCCTTGGAAGACCACCACTTCTTTGAAACATAGGGTCCTTATTTTCTCTCCTCTTCTTCCCCTCTAAGCACTCCCTTTTTAGTGAAACAGAGTGGGAGATTTTTATCAAAGATAAGTTTAATATAGGCTTAAGCACCAGGACTAGAAAAAGGGGAAAAGATGCTCAGAAGAAAGTAGGAAAATGTGGGTATGGGCTCCCTAAGAGGGAGTTACCAGATAAGATATTCATTGACATGATGCTTAACAATTAGGGAAGACCTGGGGATTCTTCCTATATCTGCCTACCCAGGGCTAGGATTACAAGTGCCTATCATTGAGATTGGGTTTGGGAGTCAAATGCAAGTCTTCATGCTTGCAAGTACTTTACCACCTGAGCCATCTCCCTAGCCCCTCTTCTGTGGTTTTCTAAAGGTTTTAAAAAAGCAGTTCTTTTACAGGGTTTTTTGTTAATATGAGAGGTGACTTAATATCTTTCATAAATTTGAGATTGTAAGATAAAACAATTTTAAAGTTAAAGTTTAAAATCTAGATTTTGATATATTGTGTTCTATAACAAATTTAAATATACTTTATGGCATGTTTGTATTTTCTGGCTCATATTTTTTGGTTTGGTTTAGTTTGTGCTTTGTTTTATTGGATTGTGGATTTCTTGTTGCTGGTAGTGTGGTAAGTGGTTAGTTGGATACATTTTCTTTTTCTTTGTTTTGTTTGTTTTTTGAGACAGGGTTTCTCTGTGACTTTGGAGGCTGTCCTGGAACTAGCTCTTGTAGACCAGGCTGGTTTGGAACTCACAGAGATCTATCTACCTCTGTCTCCTGAGTGCTGGGATTAAAAGCATGAGCCACCACTGCCCAGCTTTAGTTTTTCTTTTTTTTTTAATTAATTCTATTTAAACTAAAAACAATCTTATTTTACATAACCATTTCCAGTTCCCTCTCCCTCCCATCCTCCCATTCCCCCCACCAACTCCCCGTCCATTCCTCAGGGAGGGTGAGGCCTCCCATGGGAGATCATCAAATCTGTCACATCATTTAGAGCAGGACCTAGGCCCTCTCCCGTGTATCTAGGCTGTGAGAGTATCCCTCCATAGGGAATGGGCTCCCAAAGGCCATTAGTGCACTAGGGATAAATACTGGTTCCACTGGCAAAGGCCCCATAGACTGCCCAGACCCCCCAACTGACACCCCTGTTCAGGGCACCTGGTTCGGTCTTATGCTGGTTCCCCAGCTGTCAGACTGGGGTCCTTGAGCTCCCACTTGCTCAGGTCAGCACTTTCTGTAGGTTTCCCCAGCATGGTCTTGACCCCTTTGCTCATCACTCCTCCCTTTCTACAACTGGATTCCAGGGGTTTGGCTCAGTGTTTAGCTGTGAATCTCTGCTTCTGCTTCCATCAGCTACTGGATGAAGGTTCTATGATGGCATTCAAGGTAGTCATCAATCTCATTATAGGGGAAGGGCATTTAGGATAGCCTCTGCACTCTTGCTTAGATTCTTAGTTGGGGTCATCTTTGTGGATCTCTGGAGATCTTCCTAGTGCCAGATTTCTCATTAAGCACATAATGACTCTCTCTCTATTAAGGTATCTCTTCCCTTGCTCTCTGTCTCTGTTCTTCCCCCAACTCGACCTTCTTGATCCCTCATGTCCTCCTCCTCTCCTCCCATTCTCCCCTCCTCTTCCTCCTACCTCCCTCCCCCACTCCCCCTGTGCATCCAATTTACTCAGGAAATCTTGTCCCTTTCCCCTTCTGGGGGTGGGAGTTGGGGTTGGGGGTGTCCATTTATGTCTGTCTTAGGATCTTCCTTGTTTCCTAGCTTCTCTGTGGTTGTGGATTGTAGGCTAGTCATCCTTTGCTCTATGTCTAGTATCCACTTACGACTGAGTACATACCATGTTTTTCTTTCTGTGTCTGGGTTACCTCACTCAGGATGGTTTCTTCTAATTCCATCCATTTGCCTTCATATTTCAAGATGTCATTTTTTTTTCCACTGAGTAGAACTTCATTGTGTAAATGAACTACATTTTCTTTACACATTCTTCAGTTGAGGGGCATCTGGGTTGCTTCCAGGTTCTGGCTGTTACAAATAATGCTGCTATGAACATAGTTGAACAGATACCAAGCTGTCTTCATTACCATAGCTCTATGGTAGAGCTTGAAGTCAAGGATGGTGATGCTTCCAGAAGTTCTTTTATTGTACAGGGTTGTTTTGGCTATCCTGTTTTTGCATATTAACTTGAGTATTCTTTCAAGGTCTGTGAAGAATTGTGCTTGGATTTTGATGGGAATTGCATTGAATCTGTAGATAGCTTTTTGTAAGACTGCCATGTTTACTATGTTGATCCTACCTATCAAAGAGCATGGGAGATATTTCCATTTTCTGGAATCTTCTTTCATTTCTTTCTTTAAAGACTTGAAGTTCTTGTCATTACAGGTCTTTCACTTTTTGATTAGAGTTGCACCAAGATATTATAAGTTGTTTGTGGCTATTGTAAAGGGTGATGTTTCTCTGATTTCTTTCTCAGCACATTTATTATTTGTGTATAGGAGGGCTACTGATTTTTTTTTTGAGTTAATCTTGTATCCTGCCACTTAACTGAAGCAGTAGGAGTTCCCTGGTAGAATTAGGTCACTTACGTAAACTATCATATCATCTGCAAATAGTGAAAGTTTGACTTCTTCCTTTCCAACTTGATCTCCTTTTGTTGTCTTGTTGCTCTAGCAAGAACTTCAAGTACAATATTGAAGAGAACCTTGTTACTGGTTTTAGAAGAATTGCATTGCGTTTCTCTCCATTTAGTTTGATATTATTTGTTGGCTTGCTCTATATTGCCTTTGTTTGTTTAGGTATAGTCCTTTTATCCTTGATCTCTCCAAGAACTTTATCATGAGGGGGTGTTGGATTTTGTCAAAGGCTTTTTCAGCATCTAGTGAGATGGTCATGTGGTTTTTCTTTTTCAGTCTGTTTCTATGTGGATTACATTGACAGAATTTTGTATATTGAACCATCCCTGCATCTCTGGGATGAAGCCTACTTGATCATGGTGGATGATTTTTCTCATATGTGCTTGGATTCGATTTGCCAGTATTTTATTGAGTATTTTTGCATCAATGTTCATGAGGGAGATTGGTCTGTAGTTCTCTTTCTTAGTTGTGTCTTTGTGTGGTTTGGTTACCAAGGCGCCAGTAACCAATCTGGTGCTGGCCATGGTGGCTCACACCTTTAATCCCAGCACTCAGGAGGCAGAGGCAGGCAGATCTCTGTGAGTTCGAGACCAGCCTGGTCTACAAGAGCTAGTTCTAGGACAGCCTGCAAAGCCACAGAGAAAACCTGCCTCAAAAAAAAAAAAAACAACAAACAACAACAAAAAAAGAATTTGGCAATAGCCCTTCTGATTCTATTGTGTGGAACATTTTGAGGTGTTTTGGTATTAGCTATTCTTTGAATTTCTGGTAGAATTCTGCACTGAAACCATCTGGCTCTGGCTTTTTTTGGTTGGGAGACTTGATGACTGCTTCTATTTCATTAGTAGTTATAGGTCTATTTAAATTACTTGTCTGTTCTTGATTTAATTTTGGTGAGTGATACCGGTCCAGAAGATTGTCCATTTCTTTAGATTTTTTTAATTTTGTGGAGTACAGGGTTTCAAAGTATGACCTGATGATTTTCTGGATTTCCTCAGTATCCATTATTATGTCCCCCTTTTCATTTCTGATTTTGTTAATTTGTGTATTCTTTCTCTGCCTTCTAGTTAGCTTGGATAAAGGTTTGTCTATCTTGCTGATTTTCTCAAAGAACCAACTCTTTGTTTCATTGATTCTCTGTATTGTTTTCTTTGTTTCAACTTTATTGATTTCAACCCTCAATTTGACTATTTCCTGGCATCTACTCCTCCTGGATGAGTTTGCTTCTTTTTTTTCTAGAGCTTTCAGTTGTACTGTTAATTCGCTAGTGTAACTATTCTCCAGTTTCTTTATGTAGGCACTTAGTGCTATGAACTTTCCTCTTAGAACTGCTTTCAAAGTGTCCCATAAGTTTGGGTATGTTTTGCCTTCACTTGCATTGAATTCTAGGAAATCTTTAAATTATTTCTTTATTTCTTCCTTGACCCAGGAGTGATACAATTGAGCATTGTTCAATTTCCATGAGTTTTTAGGATTTCTGCAATTTATGTTGTTGAATTCTAACTTTAAACCATGATTATCTGATGAGATACAGGGGGTTATTCCAGTTTTTTTGTATCTGATGAGGTTTGCTTTGTTTCGGAGTATGTGGTTGATTTTAGAGAAGGTTCCATGTGTGGCTGAGATGAAAGTATATTCTTTTGTGTTTGGATGGAATGTTCTATATATGCCTGTTAAACCCAATTGAGTCATAACTTCTGTTAGTTCCTTTATTTCTTTGTTAAGTTTCTGTCTGGAAGTCCTGTCCAGTGGTAAGAGTGGGGTATTGAAGTCTCCCTCTATAACTGTGTGGGGTTTTATGTGTGATTTAAGTTTTAGTAATGTTTCTTTTAGGAATGTGGGTGCCTTTGTATTTGGGGCATAGATGTTCAGAATTGAGACTTCATCTTGATGGATTTTTCCTGTGACTAATATTAAATGACCTTCATATCTTTTGATTAATTTTAATTTAAAGTCTAATTTGATAGATATTAGGATAGCTACACCTGCTCGTTTCTTGGGTTCATTTGATT